GAAAGTAAGGCATGAATGGATGGGTGCAAGGAGAACCCACAGCATCATTACTCTTAGGGCGTACTCACACTATGCTATCTGTACCGTGCCCAGGCCCGTTTCCTGAATCATTTGAGAAGTGTGAGTGCTCTGAATTGGGCTCACTTGAAGCGCGGTTCACTTGGGCTTTGGCGCGGTACGCTTGTGTGTGAGTGCAAAACATGCCTAAGCCCGAATCTGAAAGTGAGACGTGACTTTTAAGGGACTGTTTCATATGGATTTATTAGTCATTCTTACTGTTCAGTGAACGCAAACTGCTGTTGTTTATTAAAGACGCAAACCCCTCACTGCACAACAGCTGCACCTTCAGCAAACCTCCTAATTCCTGCAGCATGAGGGCTTTATGATTGTTTACAGGGCCGTGCAGAGACTGTCCAAAGGGCATGTGCAGGAACGGGGGGGGGATGTTGTTGTCGCACGTGTACTGAAGAGCGGTGTTGTTGCGCGCGTTCTGATCAGCGATGTTGTCGCGCGCGTACTTTAAGGGGGGGTTGGGGCGTACTCAAGAGCGGTGTTGTCGTGCGCCTACTGAAGGGCGGTAGGGAGCGGGGGGTGTCGCGGGGGCACTTTTGATCATTTTGGAAGGGCACTTTCTATCAAAGACCAAAAAGGGCATGTGCACTGCACAGGTTGAGCCCTATGTGTGCACATGCCTGATTGTTTATGAGCGTCAAAAGGGGCTGATCTGTTCGGCGAAATATCTGACTGCGTGTCACCGCATCCCTAAGGTCTAAAGCGATATAACTAGAGAAATGTCCACTGTGCTGAGCGAGAGCGCTTACTGAACAGCGCAGCATCAATGACGTAAGCGTGCACAGGCCTGAGTGCGGGCCGTTGGGGGAGACGGGAGAGGGGACGAGCGTGCTTTGGCCCGGTTCTAAGCAACTGCACATAGTGTGAGTACACCCTTACACTTCAGACCCTTTACATGAGCCAGGAAGATGATACGATTTTAAAAAGAAGACAAAACCCTCTTGCTCGTTCCTTTTTTTTTAAAGAGATTAAGACCATTTCATGCTTAATCCAACAAGAATTCACTCCCACATGCCTAAAGAGGTCATATTAACACCAGAGAGAGCGAAGGCGAGAGGAAGAGAAAGAAGAGAAGTCAATACTTGAGCACAGACTGAAACAAACATGTGAATGTAAATCAATTTGATGTGCTGATTAGACAGATGTCAACAACTACTTCAGCATTAGGGCTGAATACAAGTGCATAACACATACCTTTATGCTCTTTCTTCTCAACCAGTACATCTTTCATTTGGAGGAAAGTCTTTAGCAATCACAGATTCATCAGTACTTTGCTCTACACACGTCACTGAAGACTTCAGCCTCATTTCTTTTAAGGAAATTGAATCCATGCCTATTCTTACCCTATTCGTCCTTCTTAAGGGTTTTTGTTACCGTAGTTCAGAGGGAGAATTTGTGCATTTGGCTCTGGATCTGGAACTTAATGAGTAATTACTTCTCTATCCAAAGCCACACTAAAGCTTTAATTACGCTAGAACCAATGGTAACCAGCTTTACAGAACAATCACCGACCGAGCACGTCTAATCAAGTATCAAAGCACATCCGATTCCTCCGACACCAACCGTTTACCAAGAAGCAAATGTTTATCATTAGCTAAAGTAAATCTGTGTTCTACACAGCCCTGCAGATGTATGGGACGGGGTCGGGGGAAGGAAAATAATGTTTATTTGACCAGAGAAGCAGCAAAAATAACAGGCCGAGCAGATTAGTGCTATCAGCGATCCAATCGCTCATTTCCATCAAATATGAAACCCAACTCGATGTTAATCCGGCGATCAAACGCAAACCTCATGCAAACCCGAACGCTGAATATACGATAAATACTAAATAATACAGCTGACCGGCTTTACTTTCAAGAACAAAAACGTAGAAAATTGGCACGTCGTGTTTTCGGTCACGCAACATCTCGCAACAATTGAGCGAATCCAAAACAACTGATATTGACATACAAAAAGACGAACATCAAACGGAAAATGGAGCATTATAAACGAATACACTCGTGAAGTTCTGCATAATTGCACGTTTTCATGCTTTGATTTAATTATGTTGAATCTGATTTAATGAAGCTGAGTAGATCTGTGGATTCCACTGGAGGTACATTAAATCCTTTGATTCTATATATATGTATGCATCCTACGTCTGATAGCATTGTACTGTACTGTACATGGCTTAAAGCACAGGTGTCAAACTCAGTTCCTGGAGGGCCGCAGCTCTGCACAGTTTAGTTCCAACCTTAATCAAACACACCTGATCAAACTAACTGTGTCCTTCAGGCTTGTTTGATACCTACAGATAGATGTGTTGAAGCAGGGCTGGAACTAAACTGTGCAGGGCTGCAGACCTCCAGGAATTGAGTTTGACATCTCCGGCTTTAAGGGATAGTTCACTCAAAAATGAAAATGTCCTAATTTGGTGACTTTTATTCTGTAGCAGAACATTAAGGAAGATTTTGAGCTGAGTCTATGGTTCTTGGTGATTCATATAATGGCAGTGAATGGTGACAGGGTTTTTTTAGATTAAAAATACACACATACGGATGAGTCCAAATCAGTTGGGTCGGTGGATCTTTCGGTTGGATTTTCATTTTAGAAATGGCTATTTTCAATTTTTGATTTTCGTTTTCTAATTCAAAAACGAATATTGAAATAGGAGGCGTTTCTCTTTTTTTCATGGTAAAAAATTAAAAAGCAAAATGTAAAAAAATATATATTAGATTTTTTTTATTACGAATTACAAAAAATAAAATCACCCGAAAACAAAAACGAAGAAAGACTTGTTTTATATCCTGAAATTAGATAGGCCGACCCATTTACCATGACACAATGCTGACCTGCTAGCCCACTCAGAGTTAAATTTAAGACTTTTTAAGACCATTATGAAGGGAATTTTATACCCATTAAGGGCTGAAGGCTAAAGCATTGTTCAATAGGCCCAGATGGAAAAGATTTTTATTTGCCCAATCAAAAATATACATAATTTATTACATTTAATAACACAATAATAATAAACAATTTAAATATTTTACCTTTTATTTTTTAGCAAAATATTTTTTTTATATATTGTGTAAAAACAAGCAAGCTCTAGTTGTATCCATAAATAAACTTTCTTTAAAATGAAAGAAAAATGAACAAATGTTTTAAAAGTTTTAAAATAAACTAAATATATGCACAGCAATCTGTCCAGGTCAGTGTCGTCAGCAGTAAACGCATGGAGAACCTTTAAACAAATGTTACTGTAAGGAAAATAATTAAAGCATAATGATAAATAAAGTTAAATATTACCTTTTTAAATAAAAAGTTTAAAGTTTTGGTCACACTTTACAATAAGGTTCATTAGTTAATGTTAATGCATTTACTAACATGAACAAATAATGAACAGCATATCTACTACTGTATTTGTTCATGTTAGTTAACGTTCGTTAATGAAAATACAGTAGTTCATTATTAGTTCATGTTAACTCATTTTGCATTAACTAATGTTAACAAGCATGGACTTGAATGTTAATAATGCATTAGTAAATGTTCAATTAGGATTAATAAATGCTGTACATGTGTTGTTCATGATTAGTTCATGTTAGTAAATGCATTAACTAATGAACCTTATTGTAAAGTGTTACCAATGTTTTATTAAGATGATTGTTGATGATTGTATGGGTTTTGGCCAGATTTGGTAGCAACACATGAAGAAAGGAAAATTAAGACCTGTTTAAAGAAGATTTAAGACCTTCAACACAATATTTCAATACATTTAAGACTTTTTAGGGCCTAAAATTTAGATTTTGAGATTTAAGACTTTTTAAGACCTCGCAGAAACCCTGCTACTATAGGCTACTATTTGTTTCCACTTAATCATGTTTTAAAAGGTATTTGCTTGTTTTAAAGGGATTTTGTTAAGACGTATTATCCTCATTAAGATGATATATTTCTCATATAAGTGCCGGTTATAGGCTACATATTTATTTTTTATTAGCATGTTTTAAATGAAACAATCTTTATTTTGACATTACATGCAAGCATTAGGTTGCTTTACTGAACGCTTTCTGAAAGAGAAAATGTTAATATTGTTAAAACCATAACACTTCCACTTCCCGAAGTCTGACCACGAATCATTTCAAGTGAGGGAGGCATTAATACAGTTGTTCGTTACGCACATTTCAATAAGTCATAGTGTTTTAAAATAAAAATAGAAAATGAATTTTATCTGAAAGGAAGCATGCTGCACAAACACCCTGATAAGCATCATGTGTCTTTTAAAAACAGAATATAACTAAAGCTTTTTAATACATGAAGATTTTGAATACATAAATTGAAATAATTAAAAAAAATTGCCTATTTCATATATATATA